CTTGTAAAAGTGGGGGTTGATTTTGTTCCAGACAAGGATAAATCTGATTGGTTCGAGGATAAAAATCAGAAGAAGCGTCAGTGAAACTGAGTTGACTCGGAAAAGAGGAACCGCTTTTTGAGGTATTTCAGTTAATCTTTTTCTTTTCTCTCTCTATTTGCCTGCTCGTATTTATTACTCCTATTTTAGGTAAGATCCTTAATAGGAATTCTGTTCCAGATTTTAAATGCCCTGCAAATTTATCCAATATTTGTTTGGTATAAATTGAAGTAGAGAATATTGCTTCAATTCAGCGTTTGATAATTAACGCTCGAATTTAACGATTTAATTAATAGTTTTTGGGTTTTTGAAGTTACTGAGATGGGGTGTCAGTGCTCTAAGTTAACGCCATGTTGCTGGGATTCACAGTTCAAAGCAGCAGTGTTAGAAGCCCCTGATGTTGGTGGGTATAATTGTAATTTTCCATTGGTAGTAGGTTTGATTGCTGAGAATCATAATGGTTGGTTAAATTGATAAACTTTGTTGCAGAGAATGAGGAGAAGAGTGAGGTTGATCACTTGCCTGTGTTTCGTGAGTTCACGTTGGAGCAACTCAAGAATGCAACATCTGGATTTGCGGTGGAGAATATCGTTTCTGAGCACGGTGAGAAGGCTCCTAATGTCGTTTATAAAGGGAAGTTGGAGAATCAGAGGAGAATTGCTGTTAAACGTTTCAACAGGATGGCTTGGCCTGATTCGCGACAATTTTTGGTAAATATGGTTTGCACTTAGCTAAGCTTTCGTTGCATTTCTTTATTAGCAGTAATCAAGTGCATTAGTTTTCGTATGCCTATGATCGTAACTTGGTCTATTTTCTTCTGCATCTGTAGGAGGAAGCAAGATCAGTTGGTCAGCTACGCAACAATAGATTGGCGAATTTGCTTGGCTGTTGTTGTGAAGGTGATGAGCGGTTGCTTGTGGCAGAGTACATGCCCAATGAGACACTTGCAAAACACCTTTTTCATTGTAAGGCTTATCCTTATGTCTATACTTTTATATGTTATGACTGGATATCTAATAAAATTAGTTCCTGCAATTGGCCCTTAGTAGAGCTGATGTATTTAACCAATGATAACTGGTTTCTAGTATCTGTTGGGAATGTGCTTCCATGTAAACAAATACATTATCGAAGTTAATGTAGAGCTAGGAAGTTTATACTTTGTACATATCACTGGAGTTCATGTTCTGCTGTCTGATTCATTATTGCTTTTTCTTTGTTGCATTTTTAGGGTTATGTGGCTTAGTTAGCAGTATAAAATTATGTGTCCTGGATGCTGTCCCAAAATGAAAAAGTGTCTGGAATAATTTATTTACTTTACTGAATCAGGGGAAGCACAACCAATGAAATGGGCCATGCGATTAAGGGTTGTACTCCATCTTGCACAAGCTTTAGAATACTGCACAAACAAGGGGCGTGCACTATATCACGATCTCAATGCTTACAGAGTTTTATTTGATGAGGTAATAATTAATTATCTGGTTGTCTGAAAATTTTTGGTTGGTAAATTTATATGATTCCTCTATTTATTATTTAGAATTTTGCAGGATGGAAATCCAAGACTTTCAACCTTTGGTCTGATGAAAAACAGTAGAGATGGAAAAAGTTACAGTACCAATTTGGCATTTACTCCTCCTGAATATTTGAGAACGGGTATTTACGCTATCGATATTTTTACAAAATGTATTCTACTTCATTGTTATTGGATAACAGCTCAATGAAATTCTAGCCATGTCTCCATATTTAACATGGTTAATTAGATTTAACTCTATGATATCATTTCATCATGATTTTAAGTGTTCATTAAGATGCTAAACCGGCTTGTGGATTTATCTGGCACAACTTTAGTACTTGATACATTGAATAATCCAAGATTACATTTGACATTTATCTTTGTTACATAGGAAGAGTTACACCAGAAAGTGTAATATATAGCTTCGGCACTCTTCTGCTTGATCTTCTCAGTGGAAAACATATCCCTCCTAGCCACGTAAGTTACTTCTTTCTGAAAATAGTCATTGGTATTGTCTCTTTTCTCATCTGGACATGCTGGAATGTCTATCCTTGTTGTAGTTGTCATGACATGGACATTTTAATACCTTTCAACTTGATTTCTAATGCCTAAGCATTTTGTGCCAGGCCCTTGACTTGATACGAGACAGAAATCTTCAGATGTTAACTGATTCCTGCTTGGAAGGGCAGTTTTCTGATAATGATGGAATGGAGCTAGTTCGCTTGGCTTCTAGATGTTTGCAGTATGAACCCAGAGAGAGGCCGAATCCTAAATCTTTAGTTGCTGCTTTGACACCCCTTCAGAAGGAAACTGAGGTAAGTTGTTTTCCTTTTTCCCATCCACTACATTCACATGTGAATAAGATGGTTGAGCAGTTGCATTGGAGTTTGATTCAGAAATCTTTTTTTCCGCCAAGGTCCGTGCATTACTGAGAAAAAGAGGAAGAAAGACTGCAGTTTTTTGAGTTATTCTTTCCTTTCCTATGTAGGTTCCTTCACATGTCTTAATGGGTATCCCAAACAGCGCTTCCTTCACTCCTCTATCCCCAGTTGCGGAGGCTTGCTCAAGAGGGGACTTGACTGCTATACATGAGATCTTAGAGAAACTTGGATACAAAGATGATGAAGGAGTAGCAAATGAGGTTTGTGTCCACTTAGCTTGTCTTTTACCCTCTCTCTCACTTTTAATTGTAATACAAGTCACAGTTTTGCTCACATTGTAGGTAATAATCAAATTTTCTATTCTTTGTTGTGCTTCTGTTTTAAATTTCCTTTAATTGCAACTGCTTGGTATTCCTTTATATCTTGTTTGGTCTCTGCCTAACATGCAGAGCACTTGTTTGCCATTGTTTCTGAAGCAGTTGTTCCGTTTTCCTGCAGCTCTCCTTCCAAATGTGGACTGACCAAATGCAGGAAACCTTGAATTCAAAGAAAAAGGGCGATGCTGCTTTCAGGCAGAAAGATTTCAAAGAAGCAATTGAGTGTTACACTCAGGTTAAATTATTTTTATGTCATTTTTAGTCATTTTAAAGAACATTAGTTGTGACTTCCATTATATTTTTGTACACGCTATCCTCTTGAATATTCCATTTTAATTTGTGCAGATTGCACAACCTTATTTATGAATGGCATGCATCTAAAGTGCTATATGTTCTTTTCTGTTTTACATTAATTTGATATATCAAAGGTTTTTTTAGAAAAAATTTAGTTTTTTTTCCTTCATTATTTGATTGTTAGGTTTTCTTGATACATCTTATGCATGTGGTTCTTAGAAACCTGCTGACATTTTCTCTACAAGTGAGCAGTTCATTGATGTTGGTACCATGGTGTCTCCAACCGTTTTTGCACGGCGTAGCTTGTGTTATCTGATTAATGACATGCCTCAAGAAGCTCTAAATGATGCAATGCAAGCCCAAGTCATTTCCCCAGTTTGGCACATTGCTTCCTATCTTCAGGCTACTGCACTTGCTGCTCTTGGAATGGAGAATGAAGCTCAAACAGGACTTAAGGAGGGTGCAACTCTTGAAGCCAAGAGAAGCCCAGCAGCCGGGCAAAAGTAAACAGGGTGACATGCAGCCTGCCTCGCATTGATTTTGGGAATCCACGAAGACCGTGCAACCAAGTCTCATTCAGTCCATAATTCAGCGGCACAAAAGCAATTATTTTATCCTGGAGAACGCCATGAGAGCATCATGGGGTTGAGGTTTTCTGGACAAAGCATTTGGACAGGGTTGTGGTCATTGGTTTCTTTCGCCTTTTTAATTGTTTATTTTCCTTATGAGTACGCGAGAGTTCTTTCATTCTTTGTTCGGTTTGATCAGTTGTGCATGTTATGTAACAAATTCTTCCCTGTCACATTGATTGGGAGCAGAGAAACATTTTCTTCCCCTCGTGTTACCTTTCTCAGAAAAAAGAGAATGAGAGCAAAAGTTGTTCACAAGCTTGTAATTTTCTGTATAGATAGGATGCTTTTCAATGTGTTGGTAATGAAATCAGTGGTTTTAGAGACCAAACTCTTTTTGATACACTAGTCACTCTGCATCTTTGCTTGGTGTTGGTAATAAACTAAGCATAGTTCTCATGACTAATGATGGATTTTTTCAAAAATTTTGCATTGTAAAGCTATTAAAGTTAATTAGCAATCAGAACTAGGAGAATATAGAGGGCCCAACCGGGTTCGAACCGGTGACCTCTTGATCTGCAGTCAAATGCTCTACCACTGAGCTATGGACCCTTTTATCCGAAGCGTCGTCCCTTTTTAACAAATTTGTAGAGAATAATTATGCTTAACTGCTCAGCCTTCACACAAAAAGTTCTAGCTGATATGAAGATTACTATTTTAGTAATTCTTTAACAAAACTCATATTGCGTTCTAACGTTAGGCCCAACAGGGTTGAAACCCGTTGAAGTACATGCATATTGCACCTCTACTTGCAAAGTTTGCATCTCCCATTTAACAAAAGTAGAAAAAAAGAGTAAAGATCATTACTTGCTGGGGATCTGTTAGTTTTATTTCTCACTAGATGTCAATGGCACCCTAGTTTTTTTTTTTTTTTCTTGAAAGAAATTTGGATTAGAAAGATGACAAGAGTATTAAGCAATGTGAGAATTCAAACTTACAGATCCCTTGAAAACCCTAATATGTTTTACTACAATCATTATACAAATGATAATCCCTTGATGTCTATAGTAAGGTAGAGCTCCAAAAGCATTTGCTGTTAATGCATTATTTGGCCACCACTACATGTCAGAATGAGTTCACTCTCCCCTTAAAGTTGCTTGAGCACTTCGAAATGATTCCTTTGTTACTCCATAATGAACAGGTTTGCCCCCTGCAAAGGTGATAAAGTTCCATCCAAAAGCTGACCCTCCGACAATATATGTCTTGGGAGCTTCACCATCTTCAGATTGTTGCTTATCAGAGACATTACTTGGCTGGAAAGTCTTATTTTCAGATGATACTGCTGGCTTAACAACTTGAGGCTGCTCTTCTGGCTTCTGCTTCGTTCCAGTTTCATCTGCTGCATTATTACATTTCTCTGTGGGGACAGTTCCAGCTGGCATCTGCTTGTACAATTCCATCAAAAGCTTCATCTCTGCATGTCACAAGTTGAAACACATAAATGCAAATCATGAACCCAACATAAATAACTTATGCACCATGTGATATAGCAAAGAGAGCTCATTTTATAGAAGTGGTTCTATGACAAAATGTTTGACCACCAGCAACCAGTCAACCTCAAATAATAATAATTTGAGGTCAACCCGACTTCCAGAACTTATGTGGAAGTTAGGATTGCCCAGCTCAAGATGCTTTGGCTGTTAAGCTTTTGGGTGAATCAGTTCCTAAGTTTTATACTTGTCTAACAGGCAGATTAACCAAGTCAGGTGAGCTTTCAGTGTAGTCAGCCAAGTCAAATTGAAGTTTCTCCATGCAACCCTTTTAACAGTTTTACTGATTGTAATTTAACATGAAAGACTCAAAGATGATCATAGTTAATAGATGGAAAACAAACTAACGAGATGCTCGTCCTTTCTTTTCCTACTGGCTAAGCCAATAGATAGCAGAAACTGATCAATTCCATGAAGATTTGTAATTTGCAACAGTTACTGAACCATAGATGAATTGAAACGAGGAATACACCATGTCTACGGTTGCAAAACTTAAAAACACATATCGATGAGCTTACTTTCTCTAATTTCATCAGCGGCCTTGCAATTTCGAAAATCAGGAGTTCGAAGCACCTTCAAGGAACATACACATCCATATCATATCAACAAGATGTTCCATAGATATAGAGCAATAAAAAAGCGAAAATAATTCATACATGCACCCAGAGTGATGAACCTATTTCAACCACACATGATTCTTCAGTTAGAGTAGCCAAGGAACAAAAATTAAAATACAATAACAGGCAAATCAATCACTATAAGGACAAATGTGAAGGATCCTCCTTTTACATTGTCCACCCTATACCAATCGAACATGGAGCAAAGGATCACAATTTAAACTTGAACAACTACCCTCAGTTTTAAAAACATAAAGATGATACAGAATTAACAAAATTTCACAAACCAAACACCATAAGGTCACTTGAAGAAGAAATCACAAAATGGGAACAGCTAAGAATCCAAAATAAAAAATTTTGAACAATTATGACTCAAATATACTGCCACATATTTAGTTGGAGAAGTAAATGGGGAGGCCAGCTCCGAAAACTGAAGCTTGATCACCAAATGGGCTTTTTTTTTTCTTCTTTTATATCAACATACAGCAAAACGAAAAGAAACCAAAACCCAGAAATGAAACAAATTAGGAAGTGTACCTCGATGAAATGAGGACGGAGATCTCTGACGATAAGGCGCATCTTGTGATACTCGGAGTGTTGGAGTTGGTCATTGCTGTTTTCTGGAGGTCTTTTCTTGCTAGCTGGCTGTTCTGGTGCAGTTGATGGTGGTGGTTGTTGCGGAGGAGGAGGGGCTGTTTGGGCTGCGGCTGCTGGGTTTGCATCTTGGATCGGTGGTGGGTTCTGGGCTGCCTTTGGCTCTTCCATTTCTCAGTTCAAGATTACAAGAACATGGAAGACTGCGTTTTCCTTTTAATAGATCATAAAACGGAGAGAGGGAAGAGAAGCAAAGAAAGGGTAAAATAGCTAGAATTCTCTAAGTTTTAACTAATTAAGAAAGTACATCAAACATAAATCTGTAAAATTAAGAGTAAAATATCTATAATTTTTTTTAAATTTTATTTATAATTTTACGCGAATTTATTAATTAATGAAATGGATAGTCCCTTTCAAAAACATATTTTTTGGGTTAATTTGATATTATGATAATATTGAAAAATAATTTTATTTTTTATTAATTTTTAAAATTATTATAAGTTTTATTTTTTATTATTTACAAAAATAAAATTTTCTGGACTTTGGAGCACCGGTATGGTGCTTCCCTAAGTAGTACTAGGTCGGTGCTCCAATCCCTGAGGAAGCGCCTGTGTGAGGTGGTCGACCAACAAATTGGAACCTAACAACTAACCTGAGAAAAAATAATAATCTTTTTATATATTTTTTATTAATAATATTTATATTTTTAAATTTTATTATTTATTTTAAAAATTAATAAACTCAAGTGAAATTTAAATTAAAATTTTAAAAAATTAAATATTTTACCTTAAATTAATAATATTGGTTAAATTTTTTAATTTATTTTATTACTAAAGTATTAAATAAAAAAATATGAAAATAATTCTTGAAAAGGGCATATTTATAGTAAATTTATTTTTTACTAATTTAATATAAAGTTAATAGATAATGATTAGGTAAATTTTTTCATTTTCAGTATCAATTATTATCAAAATAAGGTATTAATTTTTTATTTTAATAAAATTTAAACCAACTATATTTACACAAGATAGATAAGACAAAAAAACCAAAACTAATTAACTACTATTAAGATTCATATTTTTGTTCAAATATCTATTGAATTATATTAAACTTCTACTATTTCAAGCTATGTGGTTCTAGTAAATTTTTATTAAAATAATAGAGATATGAAATGTAATAATTAATAATAACTCTTAATTATAAGGATTGTTATGACCCATAATTATGATATAAAATTATACATTAATATTCAATTTTATTTTCTAAAAATTATTAACAGTAAAAAATTTTGATAATGGCTTGTCTTTTAAGATGCATTATTTGGAAAGTCTTATCGTAAATAAGGAAGAATAGGTAAAAATAAGATAATATTTCTTATAAAAAAGGTAAAATATTGTGCAATTATGCTATGATTTTTAATTTGATATTTTTAATTGTAAAAATAAGTATAAAACATATTATATATCATAACATTAAGAAAATAAATTGGATTAAACATAAGTTAGTAGTTATAATAAATATAAATATTAGTGAAAAAATACATTATTTTTTTACAAAACCTTGGAATTTGGTACTTGGAAAGCCTTCCGAAACCTTCCAATGTCTATTTGGGCCCTGTGAAGTTGGTTCTGAAATAAACCAAAACCAAATACTAGCATAGTTGTGTTTTGATGATTAGGAAATGATGAACCCTCGAGCAGACAAGTTGGTGAGGAGGACTACCATGGTGGCTACTGCTACTGCTTCCTACTTCCTCTTAACCGCTGACTATGGCCCCGAACCCAATGTTCTCGACCCAGTAAGTCTCTTCTACTCTTTTTCCAATTGTTTTGCTGACAAAGCCTGTCAAAGTCCAAACTTTGGATTTTCATCCTTGAGGATAAGGGCATGGTTTAAAGTTCGTTCTTTTAAATTTTTTTGTGGGTTTTTCATCGATTGTTTGTTTCCTTTTCATATAGAGATTGGAGTTCCCCTTTTGGGGTTCTTATTTGTGGGTTTGGTCTAGTGATGTTGTCGAATCAGGAATCAGTCTTTATGAGTAAAAAAATTGGAAGCTGGAGCCTCCTGATCGTTGTTTCTTGCCTACTTTGGAAGGCAATTGACAAGAAAGTGGTATCGTTACCCATGATTTGCGGTCTAGGATGTTCCTCAGTCTTGAAATAAGTTGCAAACATTCTAATGTTGTTAGTGAATAACAATGTTAAGATGGTTGAGTGGTCGATTCTAGTTTGTAAAAAGGAGTGGTGAATGTATTTATAAATTATGATCTTATATAGGAATTCTGAAATTGTTTAGGTGCCAGAACCATTGACAAATGCACCCTTCATTGGGAAGAAGAGAGCCCTCTATGTTTCGGTATGGGGGGTGGTTGGAGAGGGGGATGGTTTGATGCACAAGTTCTACTTTTAAATTTAGTGTGGAGAATTATAACAAATAATGATGAATTGCTACATGGACATAAACTGCAAAGTTCATCAAAATGTCAAAAGTAATGAAGTAATTAAGACTAAAGGATTGAACTGGCTAGTTGAAGAGTTTGACCACTTCTATGCAGGATAGGATGCCAACAACTAAACAGACATATATATCACAAGAAAAGAGTTCTTAGATGGTGGAACTGAATGTTTTTGATGTGATTGTATGTACTTGGAATACTTTCTTATGGGGTCTATGTTACAACTTAAGAATGCAGATGCAATCTTTATTTGGGAGAAGTTAGAAGTCTGACAATATTCTTTATTTCACCTGTAAGGTAGCCTTTATTTGTTTATTGTTTTGGCCTGCATGGAGCAAGCTTTTTAGTTAGTAAAATGTTGGCTGCTAGAATCTTGTCAAATGTAAGTGAGGGGTCTAATATTTTATGTCTTGTACATAAGCTGTTCTAATCGTCCTAAGTTCCAATATGCTTGTAACTTCTGGGCTTTTTATGTTTTAACTTGGTACTTCCTCTGTTTCCATAGAGTCCACAACTCCTATTTCTTTTAGCTGCTTATGTAGTCCAAATCTCTCAACGTAGGCATAAATTTTGCTTTGCCTCCTATTGAGTTTCATTATTTGGAGCATGCCAGATGTAGATGAATTGCCTTTAGTTTGTTAAATTTGAATGCTAGAGTTCATGGAAAAAAGACCGCTAAAAGAAAGTAAGCAGGATGTGAAGGAAACGAGGGGAGCAGGAGGTATCCCCCATTCTAAAACAAAATCCTCAACAAGTAGATTGTAGAAAAGAAACCAGGAGGCTTGATCATTGCAATCTTAGTTTTGCGCGTTGATCAGAAGTGAACTTTTTGGGGGGAATAAGGGGATTTGCTGATGCTGTCACATAGTCTGCCGCTGTGTTATCTGTATCTTTGTTTTAGACTTTGATTTTATCTCCACATGCTGCAAATTGCGACCATTTTGGAATTCTGTTGACATGATGTTCCATTGCAGATCAAGAAGGCCATACTATCAGCACAAAGTTCTCTGAAAGAGTTTATCCTTGGATCAAGGAAAGAACATCAAGAAAGTTCTCTGAGTTCCAGCAATACAAAAGAACACCCATAGTCAATACTCCATTCCATAGGACACAGAAGGAAGCAGTTATGAGTTTTGTCTATTGAATAAGGTTTTTCTGGTCATTGACATTGTCGAATACACGAAAAATGTAATGAGAACGAGACCAAGCTTCCTTTGGAATCGTGTACATACATACAGACAGCTTTTGAAGCAAGAATTTCGATGCCAGTCCCTCGTTATTTTAATTCCCTAGTGTTTAATATTTATACTAATTTATATTTTGAATATAAGTATTTTCATAGCATGTAAAGTTCTTTCTTCCTTATTTCTTTTAGCAAATGAAAATCTAATCAAATTATATCAACGGAAGAGAATGCCCCCGTGACATGGATTCTCAGCCTGCCCTGTACGGGTAAGATTTTCGATTATCCTCATTTTATCCGAATGAAATCCTTAACATGTGTATCAACCTCCTTCACAAAAACTCACTTCTTTCTCACTTACCCACGCCCGCCCTCCCGCATCTCCGCTTCCTACTCTTCTCCCTTGGAGCCCTAACATAGTAAGATGTCCATCTGCTGCTTCCCTCTCCTTCCGAACCCTGACTCATGGCTCAATCTCCGAACCCTTCAAAGCTCTTCCTCTCTTCCAACTTTACCCCCAAACCCCTCCTCAAGTCACACACCAACTCCTGTCTTCCTACCAAACTCAAACAACCTCCATCTTTCAAGATCCTTTCCTCTATTTCCCCACCACCACCACCGCCGCCGCCGCCGCCACCGAGCTCAAAGCCCACCCCGACTAAAACCCTGAATCTCGTCTCCCTCCTCCGTGCTATCCCGGACTGGGCTGATCGCATTCAAGAGCGTGGAATGCAACAAAACCGTGCTCTTTACAACCATGAAAATTGGGTTTATCACAGAAGTTCACAACGTCATCTCCGGCATTTACTTTCCAGTTTACAGTCACGTGTCATCCTATCATTGGTGCCACCTGTTTTAGCCTTTACTTCGGTTGCTGTGGTCATTGCCGGATACAACACTGCCGTGGATTTGCATTGGTTGCCTGGTTTTTTCCCGGTTTTAAGAGCTTCTTCGTTGCCTTATCAGTTGACAGCGCCTGCATTGGCTTTGCTGTTGGTGTTTAGGACTGAGGCCTCGTATTCGAGGTTTGAAGAGGGTAGGAAGGCTTGGACTAAGGTGATTGCTGGTACAAATGATTTTGCAAGGCAGGTCATTGCTGGGGTTGAGAATTCGGGTGATGAGTGTATCAAAAATGCTCTCTTGCACTATATCATGGCTTTTCCTGTTGCACTTAAGGTGGGTTTGGTTCAGTTTTCTTGTCTTTGAAGTTTCTTTTTTCCTGTTATTACTTGCCTAACTATGGAGTAGATAGAAAATAAAATACAAACATACCAAGTTCATAAATGGCTTGAAACAAGGAAGGAATTTCATTGAAAATTAGTAGTTAGTGATCCATTGTTCATGGTTGTGTTTGCAGTGTCATGTTATGTATGCCTCGGATATTGGCAGAGATCTTCAAAATTTGCTTGAAGGTGATGATTTAGCGGTGGTACTAAGTTCAAAGCATCGGCCCCGCTGCATAATTGAGTTCATTTCTCAAAGCCTTAGAGTGCTGAAGTTAGAAGAATCAAAGAGAACTATGTTGGTATCTTCCTACTTGGACCATTCGAACTTTACATTTAGCCAATATTTTAGGGAGAAAAATGAACTCTAAACTGCTACTTGCCGATACTGAACTCAAAATATCTTTGTTTTAATGTTCTTATAATCTCTTTACATTCCAGGAGTC